GTCGTCGGGGGGGGGAAGGAATATTTCGAGGAGCTCCTCAATCCCGTTGACACGTCTTCCGAGGGGGGAGCTGAAGCTGAGGACTCAGCAGCTGATCCTCCAATCTCCTGCGCTGAGGTCACCGAGGCAGTCAAAAAGCTGCTCGGTGGAAAGGCGCCGGGGGTGGATGAGATACGCCCTGAGTATCTTAAGTCTCTGGATGTTGTGGGGTTGTCTTGGCTGACACGCCTCTACAGCATCGCGTGGCAGTCGGGGACAGTACCTCTGGACTGGCAGACCGGGGTGGTGGTACCTCTTTTCAAAAAAGGGGACCGGAGGGTGTGTTCCAACTATCGGGGGATCACACTCCTCAGCCTCCCGGGAAAAGTCTATTCCAGAGTACTGGAGAGGAAAATCCGGCCGATAGTCGAACCTCGGATTCAAGAGGAACAATGCGGTTTTCGTCCTGGTCGTGGAACACTGGACCAGCTCTATACCCTTCAGAGGGTGCTTGAGGGTTCATGGGAGTTTGCCCAACCGGTCCACATGTGTTTTGTGGACTTGGAAAAGGCTTTCGATCGTGTCCCTCGTGGTATCCTGTGGGGGGTGCTTCGAGAGTATGGGGTTGGGGGCTCTCTTTTAAGGGCTGTCCAGTCCCTGTACGATCGGAGTAGGAGCTTGGTTCGCATTGCCGGCAGTAAGTCGGACCTGTTCCCGGTGCATGTGGGACTACGACAGGGCTGCCCTTTGTCACCGGTTCTGTTCATTATTTTCATGGACAGAATTTCTAGGCGCAGCCAGGTGTCGGGTGGGGTCCAGTTCGGTAGCCACCGGATTTCATCTCTGCTTTTTGCAGATGTATAGCTCCTAGGTTCATTCGGAAACCAGGACCTGCAGCATGCACTGGGGCGGTTTGCAGTAGAGTGTAAAGCAGCTGGGATGAAAATTAGCACCTCTAAGTCCGAGGCCATGGTTCTCGACCGGAAAAAGGTGGTATGCACCCTTCGGGTCGGGGATGAAGTCCTGCCTCAGGTGGAGGAGTTCAAATATCTGGGGGTCTTGTTCACGAGTGAGGGTAGAATCGAGCGTGAGATTGACAGGCGGATCGGTGCTGCGGCCGCAGTAATGCGGTCGCTGTATCGGTCCGTTGTGGTGAAGAAGGAGCTGAGCCGAAAAGCGAAGCTCTCAATTT